AGGATAATATAATAATACAACATCTAAATATTTTGTGACATGACAATGTACATTACCTTTTATATATGTCTTTAATGTCTTATTTTCCTTTCTTTAAAACAGCAACAGTCCTCAGTAAATGGTTACCCTTTTGCAAATGACAGCTGACTGCATTTAAGTGTATCAAAGTAATTGGGCGAACATATAATTTGATGTCTTTAGAAAAAACTGAAAATCTTGAGTGTTTTTTCCTTAGACATTGAAGTAAATTTTAAAATCCAATCATCCTAATTATAAAGTTTGTGGTTAAAAAATAAAGTGCGGTTACCTTTGGAGAACCTGTTTGCATTGGATTTACTCTCCACTTTGACCACCATATTAAATTGTTAATCCCATTAAATTAAATCCTTTCAGACTGAAAATAATTATATAATTTTGATTTTGATTTTATGCAACTTAGGGTAGTCAGAATAAGAAAAATCTTTCTAAATAGTATTTTAAAGTACAAGTAATTTGTTTTGATGTTGATTTAGGTTCTACACAAGGACATTTCTATCTGTTTTATCTAAAAAGTTTAAGATGTTTACACTAAGTTATGCGATTTGTTTCTGTTTTAACAGTCTGTTAACAAGCATGGTTACTTGAGAATAGGCAGATAGTCCCAACAACATTCTTTGAGGATCGTAAACCCTGCATTTACAGTTACAACATGTAAGTTTCAGGCTGACAGAAAATGTTGATTTTCATTAACTTTACCGATTTGGTTTTGTTCAGAACTTTCTCAGAGTGTCAGATGATCTTTTGAATAGCTGGGCCGAGTTGCTGTTGGAGTGTGATCTAACTCTAAATTTTGCAATATTTAGGGCCAATTTTGTGAGTAAACCATATACTTTAAACAACAGGGAAGCTTAACTGTCAACATAATAGAGGCAAGTTTTTCTTCTCTAGACAGTCTTATGGGGTCATCAATGGAAAGAGGAAACAAAAATCTGCTGTTCAGTCCAGTCTGTGTTGTTTATTTAAATAAATTCCTGAACAATCTTTATTTCAATCCAAACTAAATCTTTTCACTGAATCCCACCTAACAGTGAGTGCTGGCACTTGTAGGAGCCCCTAAGGATGCTTAACAGCAGTTGAACATTTATCCTTTGCAGTGTTTTTCACCTCTGCTCCTCAAGACACTCTGTCTTGCATGTTTAAGTTGTTTTCCTTATTCAACACACCTGATTCAGATGGCTGCAGTTTGGAAAAGTACTCCGCTAACAATTGATAACAGGTGTGTAAAAAACTGAGAAACATCTAAAAAACAAACATGCAGAGCAGTGTGCCTTGAGGACCAGGGTTGAAAAACATTGTGTTATTTCATAGATTGTTGTTTAGTCTTAACCAAGTGGTTATATCCTGGCTGTAGAAGGACTTTTGATACTAGTGATGAAGACAGTAGGTAACCATAACTGATCTAAGAAAACCATTAAAAACCATTCCCTTTTATAGCAAGTACTCTACTCTAATTGAATCAGGCTGACAGATGATCTGTTCTTGTAAACACTGCCCTTACCCAACCTTAGGTTCATAGACATGATGAAAGCTGTCAGTTTATGATTGAGTTATGTTTTCATGATTAAAGTTTCATTAACTTCCATGACCCCTATAATTAAATTCTAGCACATTGTTTTTTATACTGTAGCAACGTTTACTCTATTGTAATTGCCACAATAAAAAAGTAAAACAGCAAAGTTTGAAAAAAAAAGAAAAAGAAATTGTCACCGTAAACATATTCCTTATGGGACCAACAATCTTTAAGTTTCACCAGGTGTCGACAATAACCCAAGTAACCCATAGATTGAAAATTAATAACAGAAAAAGTATTTCACAAACCTACTAATATTTATTTAGAACATTGTAAAAAAGACTTATTTGTTCACTACAGCTTCAAGATGACTTTTGTATGGGAAAAATAGTCATATGCATCTCTCAGGTGGAATTTTGATCCATTCTTTCTCACAAAAAAAAAAATCAAATCTTGAAGGTTCTGTTGGTCTCTTTTATTTAATTGGATTGATATCAGGGGATTGACAGAGCTGAAGACGGGTGAGAGTTTCCTTGGTTCTGTTTGGGGTCGTCCTGCTGAAATTTCATCATTTCAGATTTCATCATTATAATTCTAGATGGACTATATAATAAGGGTATTCCCAATTCCTCATAATACCGAGAACAGTAGACTTTACCCATCGAAAGCAATTCTTGGTCAAAACCCTTCCTGTCACAAGTCTGCTGAAGAAACATCTAAAAAGTTTTTGCATCAAATGAAGAAAGAACACGAAACTGAGAAATAGACCCAATTGAGCATCAGATGATGACCGTGCCTATTGAAGATAAAGAAATGTGCTTTTTTTACGTGAGCCAATTTGATACCATGTTTCGAATATGAATATACACCATTATCTTTAACATTAACAACATAACTCCATGTTTTTACCTTTACAGATTGACCATGTTTTTACTTCAATCACTCATGTGTTTCCTAATATTACTTACTTGTCTTTGAAAAATATTTAGGTATTCAAAACTACTGTACAGCAGTTAGATAACTTTGGAAAAGTTAATAAATCCAGCAGAAAGTGAACTACCTCACCTAAATATTTCTCAAACAGAAAAATAGATTAATAGTCTGAGGGTGAAAGTTTCATAGCTCTATACCTTTAATAGGTCTAAAGCATATTCATGGGTAAAAAGCTGTATGCCACGAGGCTAACTTAGACTTGGTCAAAGTAGGCTATGCCACACCAGGAAGAAAAAAAATAAATCCTTGCTCTTGTAGTGGAACGCTCTTCTGAAAAAAAAGGGACAAAGGAAGCTACAATCTACAGCCAATTTCATCAGTTTGTGTAATGGTTTGAGTATAATCTCAAAGTTAAGGTCACAATGTAGAGAGAATGAGAGTAGACATGCAGACTGTGTGGGAGTAGAAAACTTTGAATGGGCATATTATATAATCGTTTCATAACAAATTCAATTTCTATCCTCTTGACCATTCTAATTGCTGCACAAAATATTTGGTCAAATGTTAAGGAGGTTGGTTATTCAACCAAACTAGAAACTGAAAAATACCATCCAAAAGAAAAACAACTTCCTGAAATCCCAGTTATGTGGTTTGGCATTTTTCATCTTATGATTCGACTATAAGGCATTTTTTCAAAGAAAGCTTTTCAAAGAAAGCTTTTGGCAGTAAAAATAATCACTCCGTTTCTTCTTGCTTCTTCTTTTTGGATTCACACAAAGAAAACTGCTTTTTTTTTATAGGGTACAAAATACTGTATATGGATCAAATCAAGGATCTTAGTGGCTGGCAGATATCTTGCCGTTTTTATGCCATTACAGCTTTTTGACCCCCGTTCACAACTCATAAGAGAACGTTGCTTTGGCTTTGGAGAAAAATGTTCAGCCATCTGCACTGTATAAATTAAATGCATTCTCATCTTTCTCGTTTTTCTTTAACATTTCAGTTAAACAACTTTGTGGCTCTTCCATGGTAAAAAAAAAAAATCTCAAATGGTGTGAACACTGATTAAAGAAAGTGATATTTTTCAGCATGGTTCTTGTGTCACCATTGCTAACTGCTTTCATGCCTGTTAAAATAGGAACTTATACTGTCGTCCCTCTGCACCCCCATCACCAGATTTTAAGCAGCCCCCCGCAATGCGCAAACACAGAAGTGTGTCTAAACCTTCTCTGTTTATCTCTTACTTACCCCATGGTTTCTGCAGCTGAGGCGAGCCAATTACAGCAGCACTTTTCCACAGAATTCATCTTTGGTATCTTCAGCCAAAGTTCATTTAATGACATTCAACAAAAAGTATTGTAAAGGTGTTTATAGAAAAGACAAATGCAAATAGATTTAAAAATATATATGCATAAAGCAAGAAACAAAGTTGTATTTGAAAATAAGGCATAAAGGCAGTGAAGAAAAAGAGAAAATCTCTGAACTTGAGCACCCGCTGTGGATAGAAATCTGTGTAAAGCAATCAACTGTGTCCATGCCAATAATTAGGTCTGTGTCCACTGTTAACTGTTGGGATCAGACCATGAGGAAGACTTTGCTTCTCCAGACTTATAAAACAATAAAATTTCTATAAAAAATCTTATCAAATATGTGTAGCAGAAGATTTCTTTTTTAAAGACAAAAAAAAAAAAAGAAATTCAGCTCCCAATTATCAACTTTCCACACAAGCTTGTGTCCAGAATCTTGCTGTGCTTTTAGGAGTAAACAGTTGGTGGAAAATGAAAGTGGTGGAGTTGTAAAATTTCGCAGGAGATAGAAAACAAAGATTTTTTTTTTTTTTATATATATATATATATATAGCTATCACTGTGAGCATGAATTTGCTGATAAAGAATTCTAAATAATTGTAAGACAAAAAGATTAAAACTAAGCATTAGCTGCTTTGCAAAGCATTATATCAGATTCCAAATGCATAATCTGGTAGAGGAAGGCATAAACTACAAGCTTTTAAACTTAAATGGGCTATATTCAAGAAAAAAAAAGTCTTTCCAGGTTTTTATTTGTCAAAGAAAAAAAAAGCAATAGAAATTCTCTTTTTTGTTGTCTTCTGCTTTACAATTAAGCACAATTTATTGTTGGCAATGGCATATCACACAAATGCCATATAAAATAATTTGTCTAACTTTAAAGGTAATTTTAATGAAAGGATGCTCTTCTCAGGCATGAGTTACTGCTAATTCTTTACCCGCTTTAATCAATAAATGAATATCCTTCTATAAATAAAAATGAAAATATTAAAATGTACAGAGCTTGAACTATGCTGCCATCTAGTGTTAGTTGAGCATAATTGCGTCTAGTACCTGAACGTCTTCATGTTCATGACACGCAACCCTACTGCAAATAAACAGCTTTTATTAGAGTTGGGGAAAAATTTTATATCAATACTATGGCACAGATGCGACGTATTGATAAAGGATGTTTATGTTCGCTCAGAAGCTGTTAGAATTTCCGTTAGATCGTGTGCGCATGCGCAGATGGGGGGCGTATTTGTTTAGCTTGACCCTCTTTTTTTTTTTACTGTTATGCTTTTAGTAATCATCGAAATGGAGCCAGTGAAACGCCAGCAGGTGCGACGGTTCTGAGGTAAAACCTTAAACGCTTCAGTTGCATATTTAATGGCTGTTTCTGTCCGTGTTGTTTCGGTTGTATCCGTTTGTTCAGAAGCTGCAGTGTTTAAAGCAGCCTCTGATGGAGGCATACCCCTTCAGTCCAACACCTAACGTTAGCTTTCACCTCCTGTGGCCTGTTCTCTTCCAGGAAGCGCTTTACGTTTGATAGAATTAAGAGATAAAAATCAGCTGTAACTCCACTTTAGCTGTAAACACTGCTTGAAACAATTCAAATGGAGTTCTTTTGCTGAAACATAATCCTGGCTGAGAAATTAACTATTTTAGACCTGAGTTGATTGAACAGAACAATATTGGGTTATATGTTTATAAATATCACTAATTATAAGGTAAATAAAAGACAGCAGCCTCCTGTTGTGTAATAAAACGTTTATTAATGCGCTATGCAACAACCATTACCATTTGCATACATAAATATTTA